CCCATATGCAATGGGCTAAAAAAGATTCTAACTAAGATGCAATCATATAAATAATTCTATCACTGCTAATATTTTCTTCTGTGTTTTGATTATAAATGAATGACATATAGTATTAAGAAAAGCATCAGCCTTTTTTAGTTTTGTTCACTTTTTAACATTCTTTAAGCTAATTTTGGAAGATATATATATTCATGAAATCTTTTTGTGTTCCATATTCATAAAATGTCGGTTTTATTACAATCTGCGACCGGGGCTTGAATATAACGACGCTCCCTATCTACTACGTAATAGTATGAAAAAACTTAAAGGTATGAATGAAATTATAAACTAAAACGATAACCAGAAAAAAATACCTTATAATAATATCAGTAAACATAACATTTGAAAAATAATAATAATAGATATTCATGTTAATTGGTATAGTCTTTGCATGACTACGAGCACTATTTCTTGATGTTACAGACTAAATTTTATTTTTCGAACCTTTCTGTCGGCAAATTATCTTATTAGTGCAATAAAGTCCAGGTTTTTTGTAATTTTGTTATCGATTGATGAAGTTAGTCAAGTTTAAGAAGCCTAAATTAAAATATTGCCAATCGCAAAAAGATTTTTTAGATCAAGTTTTGAAAAACTTAACAGTAACAGGTCAGTTATATTCGCAATGCCGTTCAAAATTTTTGGGCATATTTCTTGAATGTTACAATCGTTTATGAAATTTCAAATATACGGGGCAAATATATCTTCAGGCAAAAATGACTTCAGTCTTTCGAGTTTAATACACAGCGTACTATATCTTTATTCGATTTTGAGCATAAGATCAATTTTAATTGGAGATCATCACAGAGTTTCGGAGGTTCGATTTTGAGCATAGGATCAATTTTAATTGCAGATCATCACAGAGTTTCGGAGGTTAAAGCTTAACTGGAATCTTTCTCATGTTATACAAAAAAGGCCAAGATTCTGAGTACTCGTTCAACTAATAAAATCTTTTATTGAATGAACCTAATGTAGTGCCCAAGAGCCAGTTAAAAAACTCAACTTTAAATTCATTTTTTGTTAAAGGCTAGTCGTAGCTTCCCCAGATTAACATTTAATTCATTGAAGTCACTGATTTAATGACGCAAGCTGGTGCGTTTGGAAGTAAAAAGATGAAAAATAATTTTTTGACTAGCATTTAGTGCTCTTTTATTTTCGTCCCACGCCCACCCATAACGCTGCTAATATATACATATATATACAGATAATAGTTTTAAATTTGAGTGAAATAAAAATATTATTAACAAGAGGACAAGAACAGTCATAACTGTGCCCAAAAAGTGTGACTAATTGGCAATGTAAGTTCATACAACGATTACTAGAGCGTGTACTTACCTTTCACACTGTAATAGTTTATATTGATTTGCCAGAATATACAAATTTTGTCAAAATACCTAAATACAGAAATTGTGCAGAAACAAGAAGAATATTTTTTAAATATACGAAGTAAGTATAAAAACTTCTGATGAATGCAATTTACACAATGCGGAGACACCAGAGACATGCAGTCTATCTGCGTTTAATTGCAAACTCTTGTTTTCTCTCTTTAAGACTTACTTCTACTGCACTGCACTGCACTGCACTGCACTGCATAGCCTGCTTAGCCTGCATTGCGAAACCTGCAATTACTGTTCTTCTGGTCTTTCCTCAATTTCCGAATATTATTATGTTAAGAAGTAATTGAAATAAACAAAACTCCATTCGGGAATAAAGCATTTTCGTAAAGCATTTTCAGAAAATAGTAAAACTTCTGCTTCAACTGGTCAAATAGCTTCTCACTTCATCATCAAGCACAAGTTTGAAGAGCGCAAACTGGACCAGCAGTAGTCAGTAACGAGCAAGTAGACTGGCAAATATGGAAAGTGCATCAAATCGATAAACTAATCAAAAACGTGCGTTTGCAATTCAATTATTCTTTATCTCAATTTTCTTGCATGATTTATTATTACCTTCTGTTATTATAATTTTCCTCGACTCGACTCGACTTGACTCGACTCGACTCGACTCGACTCGACTCTTGGAAACAACCAACCGACGAGCTCAGCACTTATTCTCTAGTTGTATGTGGCACAAGAGGAACAAGATTTGACTGCTATATATGCCAAGGCAAAGTTTACCTCGATTCTAATTCAACAAAAAAATTGCAATCTTCTTTCATTATTTGTTTGTGGAATGTGCTTTCTGGCGAGTACGACATGAATTACTTGTTCTAATTGCATTTCTTGAATTTCAAATGAGCTCCGCTCACTGTCAAACCGAGACATCAAGAAAACACTAGAATGCAATCTTTGTGTTCTATTTAGTACTTATGTTTACAAAACTATATAAACAAATATATTTAATATTTAATGAATTTGAAAGGCAAAGACAAAGTTTTAGTTTTAAATAACACTTTATAATGTACTAGATCAATTAGCCATATTAAAAATTATTATAAATTATGCCTAATGCATAGATAAAATATGTAAATAGTAGAAATATTTCAAACCACCACATTAACTTTACATATGAACGTAATTATGGTAATTTAAATATAGATCACATTTTATCTAAACACGGGTGCTCAAAGGACACTTTCATTATTGCACGTATTTGATTTAAATACGTTTTTGTTTCTATTTAAAGTTTTTTTTTTATTTTTTGCCTAACAACCTTTGTTAGTGATAAAAAGGAAATGGGTTTGGAACTTATTCGGAAGCTTTGATTTATACCTATTTGTTTTTTGGAAACTTTGGGAGTTAAACGAAAATATTATTTAAATATCAAGAAACAATTTGCTATGATTGCTATAAATCGAATCCATTCTATTATGATGCACCTGAGACTAATATGTCAACTTAAGGTTTTTACAATAAACTTATAAAATGAGCATTTACATATTTTCAGATTAAGGGGTAGAACGTAGTATTAGTATCAACTTTGGAAATGTATTTATCCAAAAAACCGAGTGCGCGCTGTTCAGTTAGATTCGGTAGTTAGCAGAAGAGATCAATTACGATCGCAGAACTCTGTTTTAATGGGAGTTGAATAGTGTTCTGGCTTTATTTTTAAAGTATTAAATATTTTCAGATTAAAGTGTAGAACGTAGTATTAGTATCAACTTTGGAAATGTATTTATCCAAAAAACCGAGTGTGCGCTGTTCAGTTGGATTCGGTAGTTAGCAGAAGAGATCAATTACGATCGCAGGATTCTGCTTTAATGGGAGTTCAAAACAATGTTCTGGCTTTATTTTTAAAGTATTAATTTATGATATAAAAATTAAACTTTAAAAATAAATTAGATGAATTTATTTAATTTATCTGCTAGAATGTTATAAAAGTATTTCCCGTTCCACGACGGCTAAATTCTATATCGCAGCGCAATTTGATGTTTGCCTTTAAATATGAAATTCATCGGTTCTAGACTAGGCACTAGACTGATTTTTGTTTTAATATCAACGTCTTTGTTAAGTGGTAAATTAAGTTTTACATAAGTTTCTGCCACGATTCATGCTTAATGCTATAGAACTAGTACATTTGGGCTCTTGTCTGGTTAATGTCTCGACTTGTGAGATTCGAAAAGGTAACAGTATGTTACCACAAATATGTGGTAAAAGTGTTGTAGACTACAACCAGGCACTTCTAAAGTGCCCTTCTAACTTAGACACTGATCAATAGGGAAGTGAAAATGTAAAAACCAATATTATCGCATTTATGAAATCATATGTGAAAGTTCCTAATGCGAGAAAGCAAATATCTTAATAGCTCAAACCGAATATTTTTTCTGAAAAATGCGAAATAAATAACATTTTATAATTCAAAAAATAATATATCATATTTACTTATAAATTAAATTTTAAAACAAACATGTATTATATATGTTATCCTACACTAAATAACAAATTAAAACAAATTGTTAAGTTAGACATTCAAAACCTTCAATTTCAAAATGCAAATTAACATTTCTTCAAACTTCAAATGCATTTAAACAAATAAATTAGCGCTGCATTATAGCTCACTAATGTTTATGAGCAGCATTATTATTGATTTTCTCTATATTAAGCAGAAACTCTTGGCTGTTGAAATGTGAAATTTAATATTTGGTAAATGTGATTTTTATACTGTAAAATGTTAGGATTAAAAAACTTTTGACTTCCCCATTTAAGTATATTTTAGATACATATTTTAGTTAGTATATGGAAAGTGCAATACAAATCGTTGATTTTGATCGATACAGCCAAGTCAGTGCTGGGTGTGCAATGGAAGATTACAATGCCGTGTGCCTTTTGGTCAGTAATTGAAGATTTTAATGTGAGAGATATGTGTTTTAAACAAGATGGTGCCGTACGCTACGAATACAACCCATACAATACATCTTGCTTGGGTTTTATGAGTGCAAAATTTCCCAGACGTAAATTCAGGTATTGTAGATATAAATTGTCCACCAAGATCATGTGATTACATGTCTTTTTATGTGTCTTTTTTAAATTAATTTTCGGAACCACAAAGTGTATTGCATTCTATTAATGAACAAAATTATTTGCTACATTTTGACTTTTGTAGATCTTAATGTATATCGCACCGTGAATATGGGTTCATTTACGCTAATATAGTTTACACCAGTTTGCGTTAGGGTGGAATACAGAAAGCCATCTGTATTGTATTCTTTAGAATGTTTAAACGATATTGCACTGTATCTATATTCGTATGCTATCTATAAGAACAAATGCTCGAACTGACGTCACGACTATTTCAGTAGACATTTCGGCTGAAGCATATACGAATAAGGGGTTTATATTTATAGACTACGTTTATGACACATTATCTGGGTGCGAGTTTATAAAAAGAAAAGAACATAAATTCATTTTGAGTGTTTATGTCTTAGAGGATTTTGTTCATAAAATAATTGTCTTCAATATAAGTTTATGTGATTAATTATTGATTTATAATCTCAATAAAGTTTAATTAACATTGTTTTATTTCAGATAAGCGACCGTAGAGAACATTTTGGAATTTCAACGCGATAAAGTCTATTTAAATAGTTCCAAGTAAAAGCCGCAAATTAATTAGGTGAGTCTACCTGACACTTTATGAGTTATCAATCAATTATATGATTAGTTTTAGTAGCTTTTGTACTGAAGAATGTTTAGTGGAGCAATTTTTGCCAGTTTCAGCCAGTTTCCACTATTTAAGCAGAAATTATTATATTACTCTTATCAAAATTTAAAAAATTATAAAAAATTAAGAATTATTTAACTCGTTATTTTTTATTCACATTTTGGAAGCAAAAATAATTTCTTTTGTTTTTTAATTAATGAAACTTCATAACGAGGCCGTTATGAAGTACTAGAAACCTTCACTAGTACATAGCGTACATTCGCGAAAATATTTTTATCAGATACTTGAGGAAGAGTTAGTTTCTATAACAACAAAATATTTAGTTCGCCCCTACATGGGGTGATAATTACCCCATGCCTAGTCCTTTGCCTACTCCCATGTCTCAAAATCAACTGCCGCTAGTCTATGCATAAATTGTGGATTGACTCAATGAAATTTCATAAAGTGGAAGTAAAAAATACCGAAAACCTTAGTTTTTTCATTACTTGACAGTACGATAACTATATTGTCATACAAAATGAATGTTATAAAATAATTAAATAATTTTTATTTTATTATTCAGTTATCAATTCAGTCGCATTATACGTGTATTTCAGCGTTATTAAAAAGTTCCAAAAACGTTGTCAGATTGCATGAAACATCAATTTTCCACAGATGCTGCAATGCTGAAATAGACGAGAAATAGTTCTCGTCCATTGCAGCCGGCCGTAATGATTGAGTTGCAAAGACTCTTCTCCATTGAAACCCACCGAAACAGAAACAACTCATTTTTTGGCTTTGTGCTCCTCGCATGAAACAGCATAAAATTGATTTATAAGTCCGCTTCGCGCTTACATAAAAGAACTCGAACCGAAATCGAAAGTTGTGCAACATGTTTTTTTGCAGTGCTTTTACTGCAAAATATCTGATTATGCAGTGTAGAGTGCCTTCTGATAAATGTGTAGTTTTTCATTCAATTTCAATTTCAGTTTCAGTTTCTTTTTTGTGAATTCTTCATTAAGTTTTTTAAAAAATAATTTGCTGAGTTTACTAAATTACGTCACTGATTGTGTTTATTGTGCGGTTATTTTGTTAATTTAATTAATTTGTCATCAGTGGCTTTTTGGGATATGTAAAGAGAAAGAACTTTTCTTTGGGTATGTAAAGCATGTGAGAGCCACACAGATTGCTTGATATGAACTATACTTGAAACCTTTATTCGATTTATCAGTGACTTGGGTCTTAGATAAAGTTCCTTTTCCTTCAGTAAATATTCGCAGCTCGTTCGTTTACTTTAAGATAACTGAACCATAAAGTTGTGGAAGAGCTTTCTTTCAGATATGCAAATTCAGAACTTAAGTATGAATTTGATTTCGTTTTTTTCTGGTTTGACACTTGAACTCAAGATTTTGAACATATATAACAACAACAAGTAGTTCTCTTTTAGAAAAGTTGTATTAAAAGCTTTGTGGTTTTAAGCAGACTGTTCTCGAAAATTTGTTTCTAAAAGTTCTTAAGTAAAGATTAAGTAAAGTAGCTAGAGTGCGACTTTTTCATAGTATATATATACATTTATCTAACAATTTTTTAAATCAAGTGTGAGAGAACTTGTCTTCTTCATTCTGTCTTATCTACATTTTAACTTCTCACACTGTTTTGAAAACAATTATAAATTTTACACATATTTTATCAATTTTGTATTGGTTTTTTTCTTCTTCATAATCTTCTTTTTTTCTAGTAAACTAAACGGACACTATACCCCGCCAAATCTACCGATTATTTTGATGAGTTATAACTTTTAAGACTTGGAAACTTACTTACTTTAACAAGCTGAAAACCTCTTCAGCATTCATCTGTTCAAGAAAGTAAGCACCATCGAACAAAATTTAGCATCAGTTTATTGATATCCCTTAGATGATATATTGTGTTAACATTTAACATTTATTTTATTATCTACAAAAACATAATAAAATTTATATTAATTTTTTTTGGACAACACATATTTCGATGAGTGATGAGTTTTAATATTGCTACGAGTTGCCGATGACAATTTTGATTCCTTCGCCACTATCTCTTCTGCATTCTCTTACTCCAAAATGTGTCCATAACCAAACATAGTCTGAGTCGAAATAATTTTGTTAGCCTATGTTGATGATTTGTTAACGAAGTTTTTTATGTCCGATCTATGTGTGGTTCATTTTCTTCCTGTGATCCACATCTAGAAAGCGCCTTCAAAGGATGTTCCACAGGGAACATAGTTCATTCATATATATGTTATATGTTACATCTATATATAACAATCCAATCAATTAACTTAACTAAACATAGTTCAGCTATAGTTTTATAGCTGTGGAACGTGTTTTTTTTTGAAAGGCCTCGCGAATTGAGAGAACAAATCTTGTTAAAGAACTATGGAACTACCTACAATGCCGAGTTGAAATTGCTAAACAACTTCTTGCGTTACTGGATGTTAAGTGCAGTATATGGTTACTCCGCATTTTTCACCCCTATTGTTTATTCTAGTAAAATTTGCAGTAATTATTTATGTTATGTTATTATTACGACAGACATGGTACGTAGTGAACAAAATTTTCCTGGTCAGAAAACCTTATAACATATTATTATAAAATGTGTATAATATGTGTATATGTGTAAAGTAATCTCAATTCATTCTATGCCAATAAAGATAAAAGCGCGGGATCACGGTATGCACGTGTATTTGAGGTTGTATTTCGTCCCTTAAATCAATTTGAAACTGAAAAAGTGAATAAGTGAAATTATTAACATATCTGGAAAGTAAAATAACCATTCATAGCGGAACAGTGGAAGATATTATTTCTGAAATCACTAAAACTAAGATTTGCTATAGAACTCGTATCATATATTTAGTTTTACCAAATTTTGCTCATTGAATGTAAATATTTTAACTTTATACAATATATAATGAAAGTGAAACTAGTCTTAAATAAAGTTTCAATAGGAATAACAAAACCAGAAAGAGTTTGACCAGGTACATTTTTAGAATATCCAATAGTAACATTGCTTGAGAGACATTGTGGTAGAATTGAGACTAATTTAATACTAGCTTATTTATTATTTTTTAAAAAATTGAACTTTACATATCATTAAGCAAACAACAGATAATTATTCTGTTGTAATTAGCTCAAATCTTGCAAGAAATATTAGGAGTAATAAGTAATAATTACTCGTAATTTATAAAAGACTATAATTACAATAAAATATGAATATATTAAGATAAATATATTACCCTTAATTATATCTATATACCCAACCAGATAGCTATATATACGGAGCTCAAATACCATATAATAATTTCCTAAAATCATTCTCAAACACGTTTATGTATATAATATATGTATATGTATATATATTGACATGTTTATTTACGGAAGTTTTTAAATTAATATTTTTATATAGTAAAGTTATTAATATTTTTGAAATGTTTGCTAAATTACTTAACTATAAAAAAAGCACTTAAAATGGTTGCTCATAAGTTTATAAGACGATTGCACTATTAGAGAAAAAAAAATGTTAAATCATTTTGACGTTTATTATTATTACAGCACATGTTCATATCTCTGTTATCTTCAAGTTTTTTACAAAATTATAAAAATTTAAATTCGAAAGTACTAATACTATTTTTTATGGTAAACAAACCGCACTTTTCAACGAGTCAAAATAAATCTTCCAAAACTAAAACACCCTACACACATTGTTAGTCTACTTATCAATAATTAGTGAAAATATTACAATTTTTATTTTAACTATACATTGTATAATATAAAATAAAATAAGTAAACCTTATATTCAAGGTCGATTCATGATCATCATCATCATCGAACAAGAAACCCCAATCTTCTGTGTTTACCAGAAATGTCGAGGATGTCAACCAGAAAAAACCGAGTAGACTTGTCTCCGCTCGTAGCGTTTGTGAGCTGTAAAAACATAGGTTTTGCTCACCTTAGATAATTCGCCTTTTTACTATTTGCTTTTAGTTAAAGTTTATAATTTGTAGGCATTTTCTCCTCTTTTCCCTTCTACGATATTCGATCTTCTTTCTTTTGAATTCCTTTTAGCGATTGATTGTTGATTGGTCATTTATGGTTGGTGTGTGTCTTGTAAAGAATTCAGCAAAAGGATTTACTTATGCATATAATAGACTTTTTTGAAACTTTTTAATCCCGTTTTTTATTAAGCATTTGTGCTATCATTGTTCAACCCTTACAGGGCAATTCTGGCAACGATCTTTTAGTTCATCACACACAAAAATCTTGCGAAAGATCGTTTGAGAAATCTTTTGTATTCTGACAGCGATTTTATGCAAGACTAAGGTCTTTCACAAGACCAAATGAAAGACCTGCTGGTCAGGTCGTTCGATTGTCAGGTAAGATTTAGTTTGTATTTTTTTCACAAACTTTTTTTTATATAAATACGTAAAAATGAAAATGAAAAAAAAAGGAATTAATTAATTAAATTAATTGACTTAATTTTTAATACGACGCAAACGTACTATAATTTCTTTAAAAAAGTTTAAAATAAAATAAAAAAATAAAATAAAAAAAATTTAAAAATAATTATTTATGTATAAACAATAATAATAATAATAATTTGTGTTAAAACTCAATTATTTACTTGCATGCGGTAGCGATTAACCGCTGTTTTTGATTTCACCACAAAATAACTTTTCACCACGAATTACAAAATATAAAACTTTTTTTAAGTCTTTTGTGCCAGAATGACATAGTTAACATCTCACAACCGGGCTTATGGTCGATGTTACAAAAATTTTGCGAAAGACTTTTAACGATCTTTGCCAGAATTGCTCTTTGAACTATTGTTTGTTAAGAAAATTCTTTAAATGGTGTCGAAAACTCTTCCTCTGGGGCCTTAAAGTAAGGTATGTGCTATGCGAATTGAAAGGTTTTGGAAAAGAGACGAGAAACAAGATTTTG